TTGTATTTGAATAGCAAGGAACTAACAAACAGACATTCTTTCCACAGCCTGGCTAAACTTTTAAAAATATACTAACTGATTTGAAATCCAGAAAGGTGCTCAAGGCACAGAAGTGTGTGCCAAATGACCATGATTTTGGAAGCAGTTTTGCATCAAAACAGACAGCTACCAAATAAAAAATATTGAAAAGAAAAGCTGTTCCTGAGACAGCTGCAATTTTGGTTCTATTGATGCAAAACAGAGCTTACCACCAGCACAAAGACATAACAATTGAAGAGAGGTATAATTTTTAAAATTAAGGTATATTTGCAGATTTCCTTTGCTATCCTGGAAGATTCATAAACTGTTCTAGAAGAAGCCTATCAGTCATCACCCAATACTTGTTAGAATGGCAGAGAAAACAAAGGTATCAATGACACTCAAGATGGAACAGGAATCTACAAAAGGAATAGGATTTATTACTGGACACCAAAGAATTTTGTTCTAAAATAGATATCTATGCTTGGTCAGTTGTATCACACACTGTTATTTCTGTTATTTCTGTTTCTAATTCTATTTCTATTGCTTGCTGTTAAGTGTAGATGGTGTATTTGATAAATAGATCAGATGTTGAGAAATACGTTGTAAAATACTGGTAAGACAGGTTCATTTAGTCAAATGAATCCCGTCCAAGAAGAAATCAAAAACCAGGCAAGGTTTTGGAGATGTAAGTCAAGTTTCCGCTCACAATATGTATTATTTGACCATCTGTCATGGATATGCAGTCACTGTACCTTTCATAAGCCTTGAAAACAAGAGGAAGAAAGGCAGGCAAATATACTGGAAAGTGTTCTAGTCCCATGACCAAGGGAAAAAAAAAGAAGTCAAATAATTTGTTACATAATTAGTTTGAAATTTATCATTTCTATGGAGTCTTAGGCTGCATTTCAAGAAAGTAGTTAAAAGAAGTAGTACAGGACTATCATTTTCAGTTCTGCTATCAGTATAAAAATATTTTTTTAATTAATTAATTATTTTAAGCATTAGTAATAGCTTAGCAATGCTAGCAGGTCGAGAGAGCTGATCCTGTCCCTCTATTCAGCCCAGGTGATGCCTTAAGACCCTTTTAGTTTCTTATTTTTCTGATTTTGTAAGCTTTATAAGTTTTATAAGTAGTAAAAGTAGATTTTAGAAGCAGCAGTCCTTATCCCTCACCCTGTAGCACAAGTAGTTTAGACATTCCTCAACCCTCTTACCCCATTCCATGCACCCCACATCAATCCTACCCCTGAATTCAGTAGAAATGTTTAGTCTTTTGTCAAGGCAGTCCTATGCTGTTTGGAGAACACTCATATCTTGGCCTGAACAACAGAACACAGTCAAGAACTGGGTGACCGTGTACCCTTTGTGCTCTGAAGATGGTGATGGTGATGAAGAGGTGGTCCCAAAAGCTCCCCAGACCCAATTCCCAGGGGGTGGGCCCGGGGCGGACCAGAGCAAAAGTAATGGGGTGGAACCACTTGGGATTGGACAGATAGTATTATAAAATGTAACATCTCAGGCACAGCCGGTGTGCGCGTCCTGTAACATCTATGCCTTGGCACAAATTAAACCCTTCCTTATCTCACCCTCGCTGGTCCTGAGGTTTTTTCTTTAGCATCAGCTGGGCTGGCATCACAGGTGAGGCTTCACCTGGCGTGCTGTATCCAGTTCTGGGCTCCTCAGAACAAGAGAGACATGAAGCTACTGGAGTGGGTCCAATAGAGGGCTGTGAAGGTGATGAGGGGACTGGAGCATCTCTTTTATGAAGAAAGGCTGAGGGAACTGGGCCTGTTCAGCCTCGAGAGGAAATGACTGAGAGGAGACTCCTCAATGTATACAAGTATCTGATAGGAGTCTGTCAAGAGGACATTTTTTGTATAGCCAGGCTGTTCTCAGTGATGCTGAGTCCCTGACTGGGACAAGAGGCAATGGGCAGAAACTGGAACACAGGAAGCTGAGGAAGAATTTCTTTACTGTCCAGCTGACCGTGCATTACAACAGATTGCCCAGAGAGGCTGTGGAGACACCTTCTCCAGAGATATTCAAAAGCTGTCTGCACATTCCTTAGTATGGTTGTTCTTGGAGACCGTGCTTGAGCAAGGAGATCAGACTAGATAACCACCAGTGGCCTCATCCAACCTTTACTATCCTTTGTAATTCTGTGAACAAAAAAAGATACGAAAGAGACTGAAAACAACTTTTTCACAACTTGAAAAAAAGAGAAAGCGTTACAGAAACTTAGAACTTTATCAGTTCAATTTTACTGGGATAACCAAAAGAGAGATGAAAGGTGCCTTTTTTAGGATGTGCCTGTATCTCATCAGGGGAAAATAAAACTTAATAAAGAATGAAGTCACCTAAGGTATGCACAATAGTGATGAATTGAAATTAAAGCCATAAAATACAAAATAAGCTACCTATCCATAAAATTAAAGTGGCTAGTTACTGGAACAACAACAAAAAAAAAGCCAACATATTTACAGATGAGGACTATGTGCTTATTTTCTTCAACAGACTCCAATTGTTTGGTTTAAATTCCACTTGTTTGGCTCAAAACTGGATTAACCAGATAAAGATTTATGGCCCATGGGAAATCTAAGTCACTGAAGTCATTAGCTGACCTTTGACAACTGTGATTCTGTGATTTTTATGTTTTAGAAAACAGACATTTACTGTTAGTGTAATATCTTCATAGAAGATATGAAGAAAGCATCATACACTTTTTGTCCTATTCTCTCTTGATCTGAATCTAACAAATCTGGGGCAGAATATGGAGCTTGTAGATGTGTATGCAATTTGAGTAAAGCAGTTCTATATACAAGTCACTATTATAATAACCTAGCATTTTATTACTGTGTCAGCCAAGTAAATGCCTTTGTTCTTCATAACATTAAAAGTCATCTATCCTGAGATTTTTGAGTAGTTATCCTCTCCTTTCCAGTACCATCCGTATGTAAAGGACTCAAACCTAGTCCTGGAAAGGAGTTACTGTATGGCCTACACTGTGGGTGGCTAATACTTAATAATGAAGATACTGAAAGATGATTTAGTAAGCTGATGAATGGTGATGAACAGCTACTTAATTGCAAAGGAGAAAGTTAATTCACTTCTGAAGTGTCATTATTTAAGTAATGCTTGTCTGTTCAACAGGCATCTACTTAACAGGGATGTTATTAAAGCTAAATTACAGCAAAGCTGTGAGACATCTCCATCTAAATAAGACAGGTAATTCAAAATGAGTGATGAGATACTCATTTTACAAATTTTTAGCTAAGCCACTTATTATAATTACTATTGGATGCTATGGCTTTCATTGCTTCATTTGTCACTTTGTGTGTGGAGCCACCTGATTTGTATTTTTGTTGTTCTAAGTAAATAACTAATATAGAATTTTTTTTATTTAAACAATTATTTAGTTGAAGAAGTGATATGAAAACAGGAAGAGTTATGAAGCAACAGAAATCAGGGTTTAATAGGAATTAAATTAATCCCAACTGTCAGGTGAAAATAGGCCCATGAAAATACCTATCTTAAATATTGTCTCTCATGGTTGCAACAGAAAAGCTTTAAAATGTAATAAAATTGCTACCTGAAAGATATAAAGAATATATAAGAAAAGATATTAAAACTCTTCTCTTGCTATTATTTAAATCTAGCTGGCAAGCTTTGTTTGGAGCAGAGAGAAGTTACACATTAATATAAAGAGCAGATCACAGTAATACCAATCTTGATAACAAAAATTGTATCAAAACAATACCTGATCCACCCAAACCCTTAAAAACACGGAGAATAGAAATTTATGGGAAAGTCAATTGCTCTAAAGCAATCACGTACCTTTAAACATCTAATGCAGAATTCCTGTGTGTTTGTGGCACCTCCCTTAAAGAAGCTAGATGTTCCTCTAAAAACACTGTGGAATTCATTTAAGAGACTAACATTACAAGAACTACCTTTTCACAATAATAGCCTTAAAATTTGTTTTAATACTTAGGTTCCAAATATGCCAAACTCCAGCAGGTTTTAGTGCTTTCTTGCCTAATATTAGACAAAAACAAGTCCCACTTCCTTCCCTGCCTGCTTGTTGCACACACAACAGCAAACTAAGTGGGTACAGTTCCTAAAAAATGCCCACTGCAAAGCAAGTACTTTATAGACTCTGCAATGCCCACCTGCATTGGCTCCATCAGACACCAGGAAGCTCCTGGTAGCCTGTCAGAGCCAGACTAGTTGTTCCCCCTCCCTCATCCTGCACTCCATTGCCCCACTCTCCTCTACCAAAACTTTGCCATGCACCCCCCACGCACTGGGCTAGATAAAAAAGTGACTTTGATGCTTTTTTTGTTGCAAATACAAGCTATGAGAAGCTAGAGGATAGTGTTCGCACCCCTCTGCATTAGGTAAGGAGGTTTATTGAGGCCGAGAGCTGGAGGCTGGTCTTTTTATCAAAGAGAAAATGAAACTGAACTACTGATTTCTTTGTACTGAATGTGGATATTAATTTTATAGAATCAGACAGGTTGGAAAAGACCTTGAAGGTGGTCAAGTCCATCCATTTACTGAAATAAAATAAAGCCATGAAAATCTTGTGGCTTGGCAACAAAAACAACCAAAAAAAAGCATTTTATCCCTCCAAGTACAATGAGATGAGACCACTAATTTAGATCCAATTCATTGAATTAATCAAAGCCTTCCTTTTCACTCCCACTTGATATTTCTACGAATCAAAGGATAAAATCCCACCATTGTTTCAGTGGCAGTAATGAGGACCCCCCTTTGCAGTACCCCACCTGCTGAGCAAGAGGCTGGGCCTGCAGAAGAATGTGCATGCCCAGGTTCTTTTTTCGTGCCAAATGCTCTGTTTACAACACCAAGGAAGCATAACAAACTTTGGATAATGTTTTCATAAAGACAAAGAGACAAAATGGAATGAACTTTGGTTTAATGACTTAATAAATGCAAAAAGACAAAATATAGACCATAACACCAAACCTCTTACAGTAACTAATCAAAATCTCTTTCTAATAAACTAAACAGGAAAAAACTTCAACCCTAAAACCTTAAAAACCAATCTAATTTACATCAATTCCTATTTACATCTAACTCTTGCTAGCCCCAGACAACCCCTAATTTGGTTTTTTCTTCTTGGGGTGAGGCTCATCTTCCTTCTGTGGGCAATGCCTTCTCTCATGTCTGTTCCTTTCCTTCATTGTTTCAAACACCCTGGAAGTTAGGAAACAAAGCAGCATTTTGAATTCCTTTATTTTTAATTCAGTAAACATCATTAAACCAAGCTTCAAGATTTCCATTTTTAAGAATTTCCATCTTTTGGGGATTTGACATATTCTTAATTTGATAAGCACTGAGCTTTGTTATTTCAACTCTTTCAAATTTCTCTTTCTTTTCAGGACATCATATTTTTATTCTGATTAACTCCATTAAACCAAGTTTTGTTGTTCCTACTTCTATGAACTCTGTCTTGTTGGGACACAGCAAGGGTTCTGAATGCTGAGGTTTAAATAAGCTGGTTGGGGTTAAAGTGAATTGTAATGTTGAACACAGCTGTGAGAGGTGATCCTCCAACTGCCTTAGAAAAGTTCAGTTGGTTTTAGTCTAAAGCAGCAGGTTTTTAGCAGAAGGAAGAATAAGTTTCACACCGTTTGCATGTCCTACATGGAAACAGGCCTCCTGCTGAGCGGGGTGGCTGTGGCGGTTTGCAGCATGGACACACAGTGCTGCGGGGCCTTCTTCGGCCTCTCTTCTCCATCTCCCCATTCTCCTCCTTGGGAGGGTTTTTGCTCCTCTTTGGTCTGCCCACAGTCTGAAAATCAAAGAGTCTTTATGAATTTTTCCTTCTTTTCAGAAAGCTGGAAATTAGAGTGTCCAGTACAAAAATTTATCGGCCCAAGCAAACTCCTCCGAACGCTAAAGAGCTGAGAAAATGCCTGGATTGGGCTGCAAGGATGGGGAGCACACACAGCGCTTGGAAGAAAAACCATCTCATTTCTACTGCCCAAAGTGGTGGGATAAATATGTAATTATCTATATAGCTACTTCTACATTTATCATTTATATCTCTCTATTTATTATCTATTTATATATTTTTTTTCCTCCACAAATGTCTAGGGAACAGGTTAAAAATTCAGTCAAATTACTGAAGATACACAGTTACCCAGTTTCTACCACCCAAAATATTCTCTGTTTCTGCGAACCAAATTCTTGTTTGCTGGCAAGAAAAGTTTCACCAGAGCCACAGCACCAGCAGCTCCTTTTAGGGAGCGTGCTGGGATGCTAGGAAAGATCCCTGAAAATCTGCAGCCTCTAGTTTAACACAACCAGGATTACTCATGTTAGGAAGTAGTGGGGAATTAAGGATCTGATTGAAATCAGCGAGGGTGCCAGCACTTCTTGAAAGAAGTCTGTAAGGAGTCAAAGCCCATTTTGGTGATGGCGTGGCTTTGTTGGGTCAAAGTTATTCAACAGAAGTCAGTATTTCAAAGCAGCAATGCAATAAAGCCCTGGGCAGCATCTGCTGTGCCTTTCCCAGTGCACGGGGTGATGTGTTCCTGGTAGAGCGGCATCTCGCAAGCCCTCCCAGCAGGTTTTCTCCCCTTTTCCCAACCCTTTGACCCTCCTTGCATTTCTTGATTTTTTTTCCCACTCACCTGAGCAGGAGGGGGAGCAATCCTACGTTCTTTTTTCCAGGAGTAGTAGTACTCCACACACTGTGCCACAGTCTTACTTTGAATCTGTTGTGAGACAACGGAAGGAATCTAAAATGGCAATCTTGTACTGTGCATTGGAGAAAAATTAGAGTAGAGAGTAAAATAGCAAGTAAAAAAGTGGAGCAAGAGGAATAGGAAGTAAAATTAAATAAGTAGGGAATAAAGTAGGTATTATGCAATGTAGTTAAACGTGTTATGTCATATCATCATGGCTAGGCTTCGCGAACAAAGATTTGGGAAGGCTCTATCCACATTTGCTACAGGCACGCTGGTGGCTTATGAGGCCAATACGTGACA